TCTAAAATAAAAGTTGAAAAAAGGAAGAGTTAATGGATGCAGCAAACTTCATAGTTGTCTTATTTTTAAAAATTGCCACAGTCAACCTATCCTTCAGCAACGACTACCCTGATCATTCAGCAGCCTCAACATTAAGGTAAGACCCTCCACCAGCAGAAAGATTATGACTCACTGAAGGCTTACATGATTATTAGCATAGTTTAGCAATAAAGTATTTTTAAATTAAGGTGTATACTTATTTTAGACAAATGCTATTGTGCACTTAATAGACTACACTATAATGCAAACATAACTTTTAAATACACTGGAAAACCAAAAAATCCACGTGGCTCACTTTAATCCCAGCATTTTGGGAGGCCAAGCTGGGAGAATCACTTGAGTCCAGGAGTTAGAGACCAGTCTGGGCAACATAGGGAGACCCCTGCCTCTACGAAAAAATAAAAACTAGCCAAATATTATTGCAATATTCTCTTTATTTCAGTGGTCAGGAACCCACAATACATGCTCGCCTGTGCTGGCACAAGAATAAACAGTCATAAGAAAAGAACGGGCCAGGCACGGTGGCTCACGCCTGTAATCCCAGCGTGAGGTGGGTAGATCACAAGGTCAGGAGATCGAGAGCAGCTTGACCAACATGGTGAAACCCTGTCTCTACTAAAAATACAAAAATTAGTCGGATGAGGTGGCACACACCTGTAGTCCCAGCTACTCAGGAGGCTGAGGCAGGAGAATTGCTTGAACCCGAGGGATGGAGGTTGCAGTGAGCCGAGATCACGCCACTGCACTCCAGCCTGAGCAACAGAGGGAGACTCTGTCTCAAAAAAAAAAAAAGAAAGAAAGAAAGAAAAAAGAAAAAAAAAAATGAAAACCCATAAAGAGCCCCTGTTACATATAAGACTTAAGTTATTGATAAAGTTTTAATTCTTAATGGCAAAAGTTTAAATTATTCACTAAATGATCATAGGACAATTGCTTAATTACTTACAAAAAAAGATATTTCCTATTTCACGCTCTACACCAAGATAAACTTCAACTAGATTGAAGAATTAGCATGTATTTCAAAAATCACAAAATAACAAGTAAATATAGTGAATATTTATCTGACATCAGAGTCAAAAAGCCTTTTTAGCATAAAAATAAAAGGAGAAAATATGAATGAAAAGATTGATTACCCCAAAATTTAATCCTTTGGTACTAAGCAAAAACGAGGAAACAAATATTTGCAATATAGCGTTAAAGTATTTATCAAGCTTATCTCATTCAGTTCTCAGAACCATCCTATAAAATATATATGATTATCTCTATCTCTACTGGTATACAAGAATAAACAGGGGTTTTACAAAATTAATGTCACACCGATAGAGCTTATGGCACCAAGATTCAACACTAGGTCTGCCTAACTCCAATATACATCTGTTCACTACTTCACCATACTGCCCCTTGTATATGACAGGTTAATAGATTCTTAATATATAAACAACTCTTAAAATGCAAAAATAAAAGAACCTCCCAATAAAAATGAGCAAAATACAAAAACAGGCAATTCACAGAAAAAGGATACAGTCAGTATGCAAATATGAAGAAATGCTCACTATCACAGATATTAAGAGGGAAGCAAATTAAAATGAAATATTGTTTCCATTAGCAAATATTTTATTTACTAATTTTTTTAATATCCTGTAGGTAGTAAGTATATCCACTAAGGATCTTTGGCTGTGAGCAACAGCATCTGAGCTTTGGACTGTTCTGTTTAGAGCACTGGCTTCTCTGTTCAAGACTCTAATGAAGGAGTGGGCAAGTTAGGGGTGGGGGAAGAGTGCAGTGGGTGTAACCTGGATAGAGTGCCCTCAGCTTTGATAGGAGACATACCTGCTGATCGGCAACCAACCAGAATTACAGGAGTCAGGGAGCAATGATTCCACCAAAGGAAGAGACGCTGGGCAGACAAAACAATAGACGTCTATCGCAGGGCAGTTGGAGGCTCTTGTACACTCACTCACTTCCTTTCTGAAATTTAATTTGACCAGATATATCCAAAGCCTGGAAACATGGCCATGCCTTTTGACCTAGAATTTCTAACTTTGACAAATTTACTTTAAGAAAACAGTCAGAGATGCGACTCCAAAATGTACACAAAAAGATTGTTATCACGGCTTTATTTATGAAAATGGGAAATTGGAAACCTCATAATAGGATACTGATTATGTATATTTTGGCATATCTTTTTTCCCTAAAAACTTTACTGAAGTGATGTTTTCACATATAGATCTAACAAAATAGCATGTAGCCATCAGAAAACATGATGTTTACAGAACACTTCACAGCACAGGAAAATGTCTACAAAATAATTTTAATTAAAAAAGCATTGGCTGGGCATGGTGGCTCATGCCTATAATCCCAACACTTTGGGAGGCCGAGGCGAGTAGATCACCTGAGTTCAGGAGTTCAAGACCAGCCTGACCAACATGGTGAAACCCCGTCTCTACTAAAAATACAAAAAATTAGCCAGGTGTGGTGGCGGGCGCCTGTGGTCCTAGCTACTCAGGAGGCTGAGGCAGAGAATTGCTAGACCTCGGGAGGCGGAGGTTGCAATGAGCAGAGATCACTCCATTGCACTCCAACCTGGATGACAGAGCAAGACTCTGTCTCAAAAAAAAAAAAAAAAAGATTAAAAAAAAAAAGAGCATTTCATGGCTGGGCACAGTGGCTCACCCCTATAATCCCAGCACTTTGGGAGGCTAAGGTGGTAAAATCACTTGAGTCCACGAGTTAGAGACCAGCATGGACAACATAGGAAGACACCCCCATCTCTACAAAAAATAAAAACTGGCTGAACATGGGGGTGCATGCCTATAGTCCCAGGTACTCAGGACGCTGAGGCAGGAGGACTACTTGAGTCCAGGAGGTCAAGGGTTCAGTGAGCCATGATGGCACTGTGCACTCCAGCCTGGACAACAGAGCAGGATCCTGTCGGGGGGTCGGGGGAGAGAGAGAGAGAGAAAGAGAGAGAAGAAGAAGAAAAGGAAGAAAGGAAGGAAGGAAGGAAGGAAGGAAGGAAGGAAGGAAGGAAGGAAGGAAGGAAGGAAGGAAGGAAGACAGAAAGAAAGAAAGAAAAAGAAAGAAAGAAAGAAAGAAAGAAAGAAAGAAAGAAAGAAAGAAACATGGACAACATAGGAAGACACCCCATCTCTACAAAAATAAAAACCGGCTGAACATGGGGGTGTACCTATAGTCCTCAGGTACTCAGGACGCTGAGGCAGGAGGACTACTTGAGTCCAGGAGGTCAAGGGTTCAGTGAGCCATGATGGCACTGTGCACTCCAGCCTGGACAACAGAGCAGGATCCTGTCGGGGGGTCGGGGGAGAGAGAGAGAGAGAAAGAGAGAGAAGAAGAAGAAAAGGAAGAAAGGAAGGAAGGAAGGAAGGAAGGAAGGAAGGAAGGAAGGAAGGAAGGAAGGAAGGAAGGAAGGAAGACAGAAAGAAAGAAAGAAAAAGAAAGAAAGAAAGAAAGAAAGAAAGAAAGAAAGAAAGAAAGAAAGAAAGAAAGAAAGAAGAGAGAGAGAGAGGAGAGAGAGGGGGAAGGAGGGAAGGTGAGAGAGAGAGGAAAGAAAGAGAGAGAAAGAAAGAAAGAAAGAAAGAAAGAAAGAAAGAAAGAAAGAAAGAAAGAAAGAAAGAAAGAAAGAAAGAGAGAAAAAGAAAGAGAGAAAGAGAGAGAGAGGAAGGGCGGGCTGATATGTTTTTCCTCCAAGATAAAGCTTCCAAGGAGGTGCTAGCATTCCAAAAGTAACGTCAGATCACAGAAGACAGAGCCTCTCCTATCTTGCTAGCTTAGAAGACAGCATGAGAGATTCATACTAAACCCAAGGAAGAACTTCCTGCTGCGAGGGCTGTCCTGGATTGGAATGGGTAAGTGAGACAAGCCCTGTAATATCACCCTCCTTTCTCAGGATCAGATGAGGTATTGACTTGCTTTTAAAACCCGGGAACTGAATGAGGATGATAGGGAGGCCACAGTGGGAAGTCCTACCTTAGTCAGGAATTAGCTGTGTGTCCTTGGGCAAGTTCCCTCTCATCTCTATCTCACAATTTCCTAGTCTTTCAAATGGAAAGGCTGAGAAAATGTACTTCAATGGCGTTTCTGTTTAGGATGTCCCTTACGATGCCAAGTCTCAGCTCCCTCTCTTCTACCAAATGCAGGAGCCAACATCAGAGATGTTGGAGAAATCTAAGGAGGGGGTCCCTGGATGAGATGACATTTTTTTGCTCAGGATCCCTTAGGGCCAGAGAAGAGTTTCCAGTGGCCATGCATCTGCTGTGACCAGCAAACTTAGCTAAGCCAAAAGCCATGCTCCCCCACCCTCAACAGCCAAGCCAGTCCCAGGAAGAGGGCAGTTCTACCAGAAGCCACTGGTGATCTCACCAAAGGCGGGGTGGTCTTTCTCCCACCCACAGGACCCAAGAGGAGAAGCCAGGGCTGGCCTCACTCATTATGCCAACCTGGGCCAGCCTTCTTTGGCAGCAAACTCTAGCCTAACCCTAACGCCTTCTCCCTTCCTAGGCATCCAGAACTCTGCAAACCCTCACTCCTTTGCTATTCCATGCTGACCTCTATCCACTGCCTAGATATTGCTGGGGTTTCAACATCTTTGAGAGCCAGGAAAGCAAGTACCTGACTCAACAACCTTCACCCTGTAAACAGATGAAAAAACTGAGGCTCAGAGAGAGACAAGACTTGCCCAAGATCGCAGCCCAAGTCACCGATACAGGCAAGACTGGATCTGAGTCCCCCACATGCAGGATGTGCCGTCACCCTATCTTCAGCAATTGTGACAGCATCCCTTGCATTGAGGCCTCGGGCCCACAGGGGTGGGGCCAAGATGAAGCAAGCATGGTGTCACTCCACACCCCCTCTCTTTCCTCTCCTGACTAAGTTTCTCTGGCTTCCCTGAGGCTGCAGGTGTTAATCTGGGGGGCCCTGGGCCCTGAACCGGCAGCAGAAACATGAGGATCCAGAGCCTCCTCCTCCTGGGGGCCCTCCTGGCTGTGGGGAGTCAGCTGCCTGCTGTCTTTGGCAGGAAGAAGGGAGGTGAGTGTGGGAAATCCCTCTGCTCTGGGGACCAGATTGTCCCTACTTCTCTAGGGAGAGTAAGGGTTTGGGAGAAGGCAGGTCATTCCCTGACTGTGGGGGGTGTGTGCACGTGTGTGCGCATGCGTGCGTGTGTGTATGTGTGGATGCCCAATTCTTAGTGCTTTCAGAAGCCTCTGTTTTTATTTGTGTACATTTGTGTCCACCTGCCTGTGTTGGTATCTGTGAGTGTCTTTTCGGCCAGTTTCTCAGTGCTTGTCTGTGCCTGTCTATATGTCAGGGGGTGGCGGGGCAGGGAATCCACGTGCCTGCCTCTGTGTAGACGTGTGTCTTTGTGCCTGCCTGTCTGTGCAAAGCTCTGTCTGCACACGTACACTTAGGAATGGCTGCATGCACACGTCTGAGCTTGTGCCTGTCCATGTGTATCCATGTGTGTCTCTGCGCCTCCAGGTGTGGGGAGGGACCCTGTCTGCGCCTGCTGGTCTGTGGTGTGACTGGGTCGGTGGGTCTACTGCCCCATCTGTGGAAAGGACTTGGGAATTGAGGAGAGGGTGTGGTTTCTGGGATCTGGGCTTTGTGGGGAGGAAGCTCTGTCTCTAGCTCTCATCACCCCCAACCTGCTGTTCCCCATTCCCACCCCTGACAAGGCTGGGGCTGGCCTGCTGACAGGTGAGGGAGGGCCTCTGAGTGACTAGACAGGTGACTCCTGCTCTGGGTGAGGCCTCCACCTCCATCCTCTTCTGGGGCTGGAACACTCTAACCTACATTCACCTGTGCAACCCTGGCCCTGCCTTTAAGAAAGGGGACAGTAATGGGGACAGGCTGAGGAAGGAAGTACACTGGTGAGCTCCAAGGCCGGACCTTGTGTTGGCTGTGATTCATGCACCATCACCACGTAACTCCTCAGTGTGATGCTGTGAGGACAGGACTATTTTTATCCCCATTTTGCAGATGAGGAAAACTGAGGCATAGTGGGGAAGCCCTTAACAAGGTCAAAGACTGACTCTGAGTTAGTGCCAAACGTGGCATTTGAATGCAGGTATTTGAAATCAGAAAGATTCACCTTACCAACTGTTACACCAAAACCCCAGGACTGTACAGAAGAATGCACCCCCAACCTAGGAAGGAGCCGAGAGACCAAAGAATTACTTGGATAAGGCCAGATTGGCAAGTGTGTGAGTTTATTAGGACTTCCATACAGGGCACTCCTGCAAGGCAGCAGGACAGGTCTGAAGACTTACTCCATGTAAAATGAGGTCCTATGCCTCTCTCTCAGGAGTAAGTGGTGTCTCGAGGAATAAGGGCCTGGCACACAGTAAGCACAGCATAAGTGGGTGATTTGGGGGAGTCCTTGTGCTCCTAGGGAGCACACCCCGATATTCAACCTGGCTGCTCAGAGGTAAAGAGCTGGCACAGCAGAAACCGAGCCTGCGCAGGGCCACTCTCAGCATGGGCAGGTGTGACACGCTTGTCTCTCCCCCAGTTTATCACACCTTGTCCCCACTCGTTTCTCTCCCATGAGACATCTGCCTGGCTGCTGGTAGAATTTCAGACAATGGAGGAAGGTGACGAGGCCAAGGGAAGGGAAGTCTCAGTTTGTTGCCTGTGGAAGCCCAGACACCTCTGTTTATAAGAGCTCCCCATTCTGCCCCTTCTCACTCAAACGTCTGGGTGTCTCTGATACAAAGATCCTGGCATAGTCCCTGATAAACAGCAAGTGCCTAATTAAATGCTGTCAGCGGTTATGTGGTATTGGGAAGATATACGTGTCTGTGTAGCCCTGTGCATATGATTCTGTGTATATGACTGTGTATGCGTATATATGTCTCTGTTCACACACATATGCTATATATTTATATACACAACTGTGTGTGTCTGAGTGTCTGTGTATGTATCTATGTGGGTAGGCATGTGTATATGACAGTATGCTCGTGTATTTACAGTGATTATGTTCCAGCTCATATGTACATATGTGACTGCCTGTTTATATATGTGTTTATAAATATATTGCATATGTATAACTATCTGATGTATGTCCATATGTATATATGTGTGTATTAAGTTGAACCATGTAAAATTGCTACTTTTGTAGATAAAACAGTTGACTATCTGCAATTTCCTATTGTTAAGCCCGTAGCTAATTGTGTGTCTAGATCTAAATGTGCTTGTGTATTTGACTATGTGTGTGTATCGTCTGTGTGTACAAGTGTATATATTTATCCATGTCTGGATACAATTCTTTTGCTCTCTAAGTCTACACACCCATGGTGGATGCATCCGGATGACCATCTGTGTGTGTGACTGTCTGGATGTACACATCTGTGAGTAAAGAACCTGGTTTGGAGGGACTGTTAGGAAAAGCAGGCAAACAAAGTGAGTGTGACCACCTAGAGCCTCTCACACAGGCTCTGCACACGCCAGCCTTTTATCCCCACCTCCACATTGCAGCTATCACAGTTCTTCCACTGGAAATGCCAGCTGTCATGCCCTCTCCCTATCTGCCCATTCCCCAAGGTTCAGCTCCAGGCCCCTGGGTACAGAAACTCTCCCTGCCTGACCCACCTGGCTCCACGGGCTTTGAGTGCAGGCAGCTCCGTCTGGCCCACCCTTTGAGGCCCAAGCACCTTTGGCTTGGACCTGTGAATTCAGGGCTAAACCGTTGACCTCAGACTGTTTCCCAGGAGCCCTCACATCACTCCCATCACCCCAAACCCACACTTTTCCCCCCTCCCCAGGCCAAGCCTTTCTTTCTCCAGCAGGGGGCAGCAATTCAATTTAAACCAACCCGCTCTGACAGCTGAAGTTGACTTAGAGCACGTAGGATGTGAGCAAAGTGCCTACTTACGTGTGCAGCCAGCACCCAGGCAGGGGGCTGAGGGGGAGTGGCGGACACAGAGATAAAGTCACCAGATCCAGCTGCCCCTCGGAGCTCTTGAACATTTTCTCTGATGCTGGATTTAACTGAAGGCCTGGGACCTGCTCCATGTCTACAGCTCAAGGTGGATGGAGACTCACAGAGGTCAGAGGGAGCCGGGCCCTGGGAGTCCTAACTCCAGCCCATGTGGGTCTGGGCAAGTCACTGCCCCTTTCAGGCCTTGATTTCCTCCTCTACATGGAGGAAGATACTGATTTCCAGCTTTATGCATGAAATCTGAACATGGCCCAAAATCCCAGCAAGAAGAGTGGTTAGGTAAGCTCTGGGACAGAACGCTCTACAGCCATTCAGAAGAACACCTCACAGATAGAGTTAATGCCTGATCCTCGAAACCATGCCATTTGCAACAGTGGTGAATGCAACATGCAGATGTGGCCAGCTGTGGCTGTGACAGTGCACCAGGCTGGCTGCTGCTGACGCATGTGCAATGCTGGGCCTCACTTCAAAACCCTTTCTTTCCAAGTCACTGAGCCCCTACTGTTTGCACCAAGTGCTGTGATATGGACCAATGGTGAGCAAAGCTAGCAGGGTGTCTACTCTCATAACCTCCAGCCAAGTGAGAGACACAGACAAACAGATGCAGGGTCACAAACTCTGGAGGAAAGAACTGAGTGTGTGTGTGTGTTGGGGGCGGGGGGCTGACCTAGTTAATGTGGGGTCAGAGAAGTAGAGTCTTCTGAGGATGTGATGTTTCTGCTGAGTCCTAATGAGCTGACCAGGCGAATGGAGTACAGGAGAAGTGCACCAGGCAAAGGATGCAGCCAGAGCCAGAACCCTGCAAAGAGAGCTGGCTTGGAGCAGATCTGGAGCCACTGAGTGGAAGGGCAGTAGAGGATGGGGCTAGAGAGATGGGCAGGGCCCAGACCAGGCATGGCCTTGCTGGCCACAGTGGAGATGCTGGGCTTCATTTTCCCCTATCATTTGTGCCATCTGAGTCTCAAACTAGCCCAGCTTCCCATTTCACAGCCAGAAAACTGAGGCTTGGAGTCATTAGAAACAAACAAACAACACCACCACCACCACCAAACTAGCCAAAAGACAGGCAAGAAGCAAGGGATGGAGAATTCAGAGCTTGTCATTCCCAGGTGAGCGCTTATTACATAACCGTAAGCTTCCTCCAGCTGCAATATTGGGAGATTCTCTTACAGAGAAATGGGGAGGCTGCCCAGCAGATGATGGGCCGTGCCTCCTATCGGTGCCTGACCAGTGCGTGGAAGACAGCCAGTGTCCCTTGACCAGGAAGTGCTGCTACAGAGCTTGCTTCCGCCAGTGCGTCCCCAGGGTCTCTGGTAAATGCCCCTGTCCACCTTGCTGACCACCCAAGCCCCAAGCTCCAGGGCCGGTGGGCACAGGCAGAGCTCACCCAGTTCCCTGTGTTGCAGTGAAGCCAGGCAGCTGCCCACAGGACCAACTGCGCTGCCTCAGCCCCGTGAACCACCAGTGTCACAAGGACTCAGACTGCTCGGGCAAAAAGCGATGCTGCCACAGCGCCTGTGGCCGGGATTGCCGAGATCCTGCCAGAGGTGCGGCTCCTGGGCGCCCGGGGCAGGTGCCTTCCCTCTCCGAGCCCCAGCTCTAATACTTTCTTCACTGCTGCAAGCGTAACAGGATGCCTCCCCAGAAGTCAGGGCCTCCCATGGCTAGGACTGGGGAATTGGATAGGGGCTGGGGGAGTCCTGCTAGGATAACAGAGGACCTGGAAGTCCTTGGTTCTCTTCTTGAGCTTGCTGTGGCACCTGGACAACAGCCCTAAACTGCTCCAGGCTTCCGTTTGCCCTTTTGAAGGGGGTGGAGGAGTCCAGCCTTGGTGGCAACCAGAGCTGCGCTGGTCGGTCATGGATGGGAGACCAAGGCCAGAAACCAGAGCCCTATTATGGGAAGGAATTAACCCTTTCTTTCTCCTTCTTCAGGCTAATTCTGATTTAGGATCCGTGGCTCTGCACCTAAGCTGGGGACCAACGGAAAGAGTTCACGATGGGAGGCCTGGGGCCCTGCCCGCCGGACAGCACTATCTCTACTAGCGGTGGTTCCAGCCTTCTGATAAACACTGGCCTGCTGTCACTTCCCTGCAACGCATCCGCCCCTGGATTCTCCCCCTGGGAGTCAAAGTCCATAGTCTGACCTCGGAGGAAGGCCTCGGTATCACCCCAGCAGCCTGCAGCACTGCCATGCGAGCTTCCCACCCTTCCTCACACGTTCACACCAATCCGTACATGCTGCTTCCTCCAGCAAGAATGCCCAATTCAGGCAGACCCTGACCTCTCCCTCAGGCAGCCCAACCACCCAGAATGAATATTCTAGCAGAGTTTTCCAAACATCAGTCATTCCCCTCTGTCATGATTTTCACCATAACTACAAAAGAGCACCACGATGGGCTCCACGCTGCCTGTGCCACCATTGACTTAATGTTTTCTTTAAATGACTCACTTTTGTGTATAAACAAATTCATTTCAAAAGAAAATTGATATCACTACTATAAATGAGATAAATGAGATCAATTGCCACAAATGGAATTACGAAAACAAATACAATGGAAACAGCTCAGTTCCATTAAAGTAAATCATGTCAGATTAAATGATATTAAATAGTGTTATTAAGCTCTAGCTAGCAACAGCCACCTGCCAAGACTGAGCCTGAAAGCCTGTACTCGGTCTATGTTTTTTGTTTTTTGAGACAGAGTCTCGTTCTCTTGCCCAGGCTGGAGTGCCGTGGCGCGATCTTGGTTCACTGCAACCTCCGTCTCCCCGGTTCAAGCAATTCCTCTGCCTCAGCCTCCTGAGTAGTTGAGACTACAGGTGCCCGCCACCATGCCTGGCTAATTTTTGTATTTTTAGTAGAGACGGGTTTTCTCCGTGTTGGCCAGGCTGGTCTCAAGCTCCTGGCCTCAAGTGATCCGCCTGCCTCAGCCTCCCAAAATGCCGGGATTACATATGTGAGCCACCGCACATGGCCAGTCTATGTTTTAATCAATGAAGATTTAAAGGGTTAAAGATGCAAACCTCTAAGCTGAGCCTTTCTCCCTGGGGGAAATCAGAAGGCTTGAGAAGGGAATGACTTTCTCACTTCAGGAGTTCATGTGATGTGACACTGCATCCAGGTACATATTAAGATCACTTCAAATTGCCCCAAATTTGGGGAAATTTTGCTCAAGTAGTCAGGATGTCATTATTATGGTGGGCCTGTCTCCACCTCACTCACTTCAATTTCTCCTGGGTCCAGTATGCAGTCAGGGTTTAATGAGTGTTTCTTGCAGGGAGAAGGGGTCAATGAGGGAATGACAGCCATCCCAAGGGACCTCCCTGGACCCAGACAGCTGGATTCCTGACTCTCCCACTTTCCTCCCAGGAAGGAGGTGGCAAATTCCCTGCTCTATCTGCTGGGCCTCTTGTATCCAGCACAAGACTGAGGGACTGGGCGGTCCACTGTGGAGGTCAACTTGGGAATCCTGGGTCTTCTTTCCCTGTTCTCTTGGCCTTGCAGTGTGATGACAGGTGCATCTTTCTGCACTCTGGGCTTCTGTTTGCCCTGTGGGAAGATGGAAGGAATTCTACTTCCTCACCCTCCTTGTCCTTCCCATGGGATTCAAATGCTTGAACCATTGACTGAAAAGTGCCAGATACTAACTACATGGATATAGAATGAGGTCTTGGAGAGGGGAAGGAGAACTGTCTGGGAGTCACTGACTCCGAGCAACCTTAGATATTTCTCTTCCTCTTTCTAGGCCTCAGTTTCCCCATCTACATATAACTTCATATAGTTAACACAGATAATATGGTAGATTGGATTATTTGCCTACAATTTTCCCCTTCCCCTCCCTACCCCATGCTTACAGTGGCTTCCCTCAGGGAGAGTGTACATCCTGCCCCAGTGACTTGGGCTTGGCAAGGAGACCTGTTTTAGCTAATGACGGGATGTGGGTGGCAGTGACAGTGTAGCCTGTTTAAAGAAAAATACCACCATTCTTCTTTTTTTTTTTAATTGAGATGGAGTTTCACTCTTGTTGCCCAGGCTGGAGTGCAGCGGCACGATCTTGGCTCACTGCAACCTCCACCTCCTGAGTTCAAGTGATCCTCCTGCCTCAGCCTCCCAAGTAGCTGGGATTACAGGCATCTGCTACCACACCAGGCTAATTTTTACATTTTAGTAGAGATGGAGTTTCACCATGTTGGCCCAACTGGTCTTGAATTCCTGACCTCAGGCAATCTGCCCGCCTCAGCCTCCCAAAGTGCTGGGATTACAGGTGTGAGCCACCGCACCTGGCCTCCACCCTTCTTGGAGCTTCTGCCCTCTGCCATGAGAAGAGCTTGCCCGAAGCCACTTGTCTTGCTGGAGAGACACCTGGGGCAAGCCTGAAGCTGAGTCAGACCAGCCAAGCCTCAAACTTGCCAAAGAGAAATAAATCTTTGTGGTAAGAAGACACAGAGATTCAGGGGTTGTTCGTCACAGATTCATCACAGTAAGAGCTTAACTAGTTCAGATTCTGGTTATTAGTCTGTAATGAACGTCTACTGTAGATCTCCCACTTTTAAATATAATTTCATTCATCCGACCCATAACCCTGAGAAAGGCTATTCCCATTTGACAGTGAAGAAACAGTGGCTATGAGATAAGTGGCTTGCCCAAGACCCCCAGCTGAGAAATGATGTAGCCAGGATTAAACCACACCATATTCCTCCCTTGAGAGTAATCAAGGCAGCAACAGCCAACAATTACAGATCATGTGCCATGCACCAGGTATCATTTTAATCACTTTACATGTATAATCTTGTATAATCTCATTAAATCCTCATATCCTTATCGGGTAGGTTTCATTACTTTTCCCCATTTCACACATGAGGAAACTGAAACACCAAGAGGTTAATTTGGCCAAAGTTGTCCAACTTGTAAGTACTAGAGCTGGGATTCAACCCCAAGGAGTCTAACCATAAACTTTACGTCCCTATTGACTATACTAATTAATTATAATCGGTCTTTGAAGATTCCTCCCACTTAAGACTCCTCCTACCTGAAGATTCAGTGTCCACATCTGAAAAATGAAGATCACAAAGACACAAAAAAGTTAAGTGACCAGACTTAATTCTAGACAACTGGAGCCCAAGCCTGTTGATACATAGCATATTGCCCTAGGTTTCTTTCCTCAAAGGCATCAGGAGGAAAATTAGGGGGTCACAGCAGGAAGCTCCCAGGTAAGCCAGTTAAGACTTGGCTGCCAAGAGCCCTGTGACTATCCTGGAGCTCTGAGTTCTGAGCTAGGTCCTTGGAATGGCAGGAGGTGACAGGTCACAGACTATGGCTTCTCTGGCTATAGGTAGCAGCATCTATACAGCCCATTCTAGATTCCCTGCTCAGCTTCCTGGTTAACTCACTCCCTGTTCCAGCAGTTCTGTGAGTTGGTCTATTCAGTGCCAGCTCCAAGTTCAGCTCCAACCCAATCAGCTCTATCTCTACTGCCTGTCTCCGCTGGCTTTCTGGAAAGTCTCCTAGGAGGCTGGTTCCTTTTGCAGACTCTGACCTTGCTTTCCTCCCTCACTCATTCAATAAATGTTTGCTGAGCACTTAATATAGGCTCTAGGCTGTGCTTTGCAGAACTCATGCACTAATGGATGAGACAAAGCCCTAGCTAGAGAGTTGCATGACATATACCAAACTGGAGAGGCCTGGGAGGACGGGAGAGATCTAACTCAGCCTAGAAACCAGGCAAGTCTTCCTGAAGATGATATCCAGGTCAAGACCTTGAGTTTTAGCAGGAGCTAGCCAAGTAGAACACTTCTTTTTTTTTTTTTTTTTTTTGAGATGGAGTCTCGCTCTGCGCTGGCTGGAGTGCAGTGGCCGGATCTCTGCTCTGCAAGCTCCGCCTCCCGGGTTCACGCCATTCTCCTGCCTCAGCCTCCCGAGTAGCTGGGACTACAGGCGCCCGCCACCTCGCCCGGCTAGTTTTTGTATTTTTTTAGTAGAGACGGGGTTTCACCGGGTTAGCCAGGATGGTCTCGATCTCCTGACCTCGTGATCCGCCCGTCTCGGCCTCTAAAGTGCTGGGATTACAGGCTTGAGCCACGCGCCCGGCGAACACTTCTAATTATCTATTCTCCTTCTTCCTTACCCGTAGCAATGTCCCCAGTTAGAAATGCTTGCCCCACCCCCCCAGGCTCTTGGAGTGCCGATGACATTCCATATTTTTGACCCGGTGGTAGTCACAAATGGATTACATACATTTGTAAAAAAAAAAAAAAAAAAAAAAAAAAAAAATCATTGACATTCCATATTTTGACCCGGGTGGTAGTCACAATGGATACATACATTTGTAAAAAAAAAAAAAAAAAAAAAAAAAAATCATTCAGCTGTAACTTAACATTTGTGCACTTTACCACGGAAACAGTATATTTCAATTTTAAAGGTAAATTAAAATTTTAAAAATATGTTTCCTCTCCAGGCTCCCTTGTACCAAACAATGATCATGTGACCCAAGACTGGCCAATCAGAAGCAAGGGAAATCTATTAGGAGGCGCTTCCTGGCAAGCTATAGTTTTCCTAACTAAGGAGATGGACTTGGCCTTTTGTCTGTCATCCATTTACCCTGTGTCCTTCCTGGAACATGGCTACTGCCACTAGAACAGCCATCTGGTGTCCTTGAGGATTGTCTTAGTTGGGTTCCCCCAAAATAAATCTTGAGATGAAGAATCATATGACAGTGATGCTTCGGAAATGTTTTCAGGAAAAATGGCTATAGGAGTACAGAAGTTCACCATGAAGAGAAGCCAGTGATGATGTGAAATCCAGTGAAATCCCACAGGGCAGTTCTAGAAACAAGCATACATGGAGCACATACCTTCTCAGGTACGTCAGGTTCTCCCTGAGTGGAGCCATAGCAGGCTCTGGCAGCCTCAGGAAAGCCCAAGATACCAGCTGTCAGGAGGAAAAACATACCAGGAGTCTCTGTGCACAAAAGTGGTAAAGGATCCCAGAGGAGCTGTGGGCACGAATGAGTCACATAAGAATGGTGGAGGAGGAAGTGACAAGGAGCCTGGGTCTTCAGGGCTATTCATGAGCAGCTGCACCTACCCCGGCCTGCCAAAAAAAAAAAAAAAAAAAGTAAACTCTTTTCTAGTGAAGTCACTGTAATTCTGTTTCTGTTCCTGCAGCGAAATTAAATTTTAACTGATATGCAGGGCAAAGAAAGGGCAGGAAGAGTTGTTCATGGAGAGGGAACAGCATGTGCTAATCCTCATCTCAATCCTGAAAGGTGGATGTTGTTCCCATTTTACAGATGAGGAAGATAAGGATCCAAGAGAAGTGCTTGGCCCAAGGTCACATAGCAGTTTAGTGGTAAAGGCAGGATTCAAACCCAGTGTATTTATTATCTATTGCTGTGTAACAAGGTTTCACAAATGCAGCAGCTTAAAGCAACACACATTTATTATCTCACAGTTGCTATGGGTCACGAACCCGGGTACAGCTTAACTGGGTCTTTTGTTTCAGTTTCTCTGCTTCACGAGACTGCACCCGAGGGGTCGGCCATGGTGGGAGTCTCATCTGAGCCTCAATTAGAGAAGCATCCACTTTCAAATTCACAGGGTTATTGGCAGAATGTCAGTTCCTTGAGGACTAATGGACTGAATATCACAGCTCCTGGCTGGTCGTTGGCTGGAAGTCACCCTCATTTCCTTACCTTTCCCGCCTGGCAACTTGCTTCATCAAAGCCAGCTGGAAGTCACAACCTTAAGTAACCTAATCAGAGAAGTGACATCCCATCACTTTTGCTATATTCTGTTCATTAGAAGCAAATCAGTAAGACCTGTCCACACACAAGGGGAGGGGATTGCACAAGGGCATGAACACCAGGAGGCCGACATCACTGGTAGACATCTTAGAAGGTGCCCGTCACGTCCAGGTCTACTTAATTCCAAACACTTCTGTATTTTCTGCAACATCAAGCTTACTCTGAAGGTAAAACTGCATGGATTCAAATGGCTAAAACTGGCCAGGGACTGGGGGAGAATTTGGGGGACAGCCCATCCATGATACATGAAGGACAGGGATACCCCATCCTTCCCACCCATAATGCCCAGCTTCCCACTCTTGTGGCTGACAAATTCCACCAAAACTTCATTTACCTCTCACTGTGTAATCTGGGGATGAAACTAGATCCTGGTTTCATTCTCTTCTGCCCTTGGGAAATAGGTCTGTCTTTTCTCAGTTTTGGAAACTTGTCTCTGCAGCTCCAGGGGAAACTCCTGAGTCCTAAGGGGCAGCGAAGGCTGCAGACAAACTCTTACGCTGGGAAATAGAAGACCTGCTTCTCAGCAAATCTGCCTCAGTTTCCCTGTTGGTCAAATGAGGGAATTGGGCAAGATGCTCACTAAGCAGCTTCTTCCTCTAACTTCTTCTTTCGAGGGAAAAACTGAAGTGGCCCAGCCTAGAGCTGTGCTGTCTAATATGGCAGCCACGAGCCATGTGTGGCTCCTGAGCACAGAAAATGTGACTAGTCCAAACCGAGATTTGCTATAGGTGAATCTCAAAAAATCTCTCTCAAAAAATAAAAAATAAAATAAAATAAATGAGTATGCTGGATTTATATATGGAAGGCAGAATTCAGATGACCCCTCCTCAATGATCCTCATCCCTGTATAATCTCCTCCTGTTTAAGTGTAGGTGGAGCCCATGAATGTGTGATATATGGCAGGAGGGAGATTGCCCTGGGTGGGCCTGGCCTAATCAGGTGAGAGTTTTAAAGTCAGAGATTTTTCTCTGACTGGTTACAGGAGAGGAATTCAGCACTCTCATGTGCCTAAAAGAAAGCAAGCATTCATGCTATGAACTGCCTATGGGGCAGGAACTGTAGGCAGCTTCTAGAATCTGAGACTGATCACCAGTGGACAGCTAGCAGAAAAAGAGAGACCTCAGTCCTATAACCACAAGGAAATGGATTCTGCCAACAATCTGTGAGCTTGGAAGAAAACTCTGAAGCTCACATGAGAACCTCAACCCTGGCCAACACCTTGGCTTCAACCTGGTGAGACCCCGAGGGTCCAGTAAGGCCATGCCCAGACTTCTGACCTATAGGAACCATGAGATCATAAATTTGTATTGTTTTAAGCTACTAAATGGTGGTAATTTGTTGTGTAACAATAAGAAAAATCAGTACACTGGATTTTAGAGACTTAGTACAAAAAAAAAAAGAAAATGTAAAATATCTCAATAATTCCTTTACTGATTCCAATGTTGAAATCATAATATTTTAGATTTAATAAAAGATATTACTAAAAATACAGTTGATTCTGAAACAACACAGGTTTGAACTGCTACTGTCCACTTATTGGCAGATTTTTTTCCAACAAATACGTTGCAAAATTTTTGGAGATTTGTGACAATTTGAAAAAACTTACAGATTAACCATGTAGCCTAGAATTATCAAAGGCCTGAAGAAAAAGTTAGATATGTCGTGAATACCTAAGATATATGTAGATACTATTTATGTGTTAATCGGCTGTTTATGTTATAGGTAAGGTTTCTGGCGAACAGTAGGGTATTACTCGTTAAGTTTCAGGGGAGTCAAAAGTTATATTCTAATTTTCTAGGCATGGAGGAGTGGTTTCCCTAAGCCCCACTGTTCAAGGGGTAACTGTAATTTCACCTGTTTTTTACTCTTTAAAATGTTGCAGTCAGAAATTTAAAAGGATACATGTGGGTCGGGTGCAGTGGCTCATGCCTGTAATCCCAGAATTTTGGGAGGCCGAGGCAGGTGGATCATTTGAGGCCAGGAGTTCAAGACCAGCCTGGCCAACATGGCAAAACGCCCTCTCTACTAAAAATACAAAAATTAGCCTGGCATGGTGGTGCATGCCTGTAGTCCCAGCTACTCAGGAGGCTGAGGCAGAAGAATCGCTTGAACCCGGGAGGCGGAGGATGCAGTGAGCCAAGATAGTGCCACTGCACTCCAGCCTGGGCAACAGAGTGAGACTGTATCTCAAAAAATAAAAAATAAAATAATATATGTGGCTCACATTAAAGGTGTTGGACAGTGCTGGCCTAGAGGACTCAGAAGTCAGCCATGGGACCTCCGGCAAGTCACCACACCTCTCAAAGCAGTTCTTATCTGTGAGATAGGAATGATAGTAGCACTTACTGAACAGATAAATTTGCAGTTTGAGTGAGATTGAGGAATACGCTTGACCCAAGGTAAGTACTCAGTAAATGTTGGTAATTATCGTTATTGTTAATAACAATATTTGCAAAGGCTCATATCCAGGCCCTAGTCTCCAGTAACCTCTCCCCAACCAGGCACACAGCAGCCACACAATAGGTACACGTGTGGGGATTTCACAACCTCTACAAAGCTCTTTGGCACATGTTCTTTGCCCTCACAACCCACTTGGCAGGTTGGAATCAGGAGCCCGTGGGCAGGTAAGGACACTGTGCCTCAGGGGTAAAATGATCGTTTCAAGTTCCACAGCTCACCTAAGAAGAACCTGGGACTCCAAGGGAGATGAGGCCACCTTCTACAGCTCCCTAACTCAGTTGCCCACGGTGTGAGGAAGTGACTGGAGCTCACCCCTAAAATGGGAGACATAAGATCCTGGCCCTGTCAAGAGTGTGCCAGGAATAGCTGAGATCAATCACTTACAGCAGCTGAAGTACCCTGGCACATACTAAACACTCAATTAAGCAAATCATGATTACTGTTGTTCCTTTGCCAGAGAAGCTTCTGCTGAAATCCCTCTCTAGGGGGAATCCTCATGCCCTAAATGACCCCTCCTTCCCGGCCCGGTAACTCCGGAGGATGCCCCTGCAGGTAGGCCCAGTCTCCTGACACCACCACCCCCCAACCGAGTCAGGAATAGAAACCGCCGCCTCCAGCCGCCAGCGGCCTCACTCCCTCCTCCGGCAGCGATCGATGCGGCCTTCAGCCGCGGGGGACTAGGCAAGGAAGAAGGAAGGAGAGGGCAGCGGGGCCGCCTGCAGTAGGAGGCTCTGCGGGGCCGGCGGGACAGCGGCGAGACCGAGTATAGCCAGCGGCCCCCAGCCTCGGTGACTTTGGGACAGACACAGGAGGCGCCCGGGAGGTGCCACGACAGGTAAGGGGCCTCCTCTGGGGAGGGACGTGGGGCCGGGATGGTCCGGGGCAGCCAGAGTGGGAGGCGGGGCTGCCTGGGGTTCCTGGTACTCTTACCCCCTCTAAGAGACCTCCCACCCCGCAAGGAGGAAGCAGTGTGGGGCGGCCGCGCTTTGGAGACCCTGGCTGGTCCAGTTTATTCATCTGTAAAATGGGATTAGAAAACCTCCCTGGCAGGGTTGGTGTAGAGATTAAACCAAATGAGGTGTGCATGGAGCCCAGAGAAGTGACTAGCAGATAGGAGGTGCTCAAAATAAGTGTGTGGAGAGAGAATGAAATGAAAAAAACCTGGTGTCCAACCTTAGCTGTGCCATGGACTAGCAGGGTGATTTTGAACAAGTCACTTAATCTTTCTTACTGATCTTCAGGTTCTCATCAGAAAATGTTTGTTGAATTAATTATCCCATTTCACAGAGCAGGAAAGTGAGTTCCAGATGGACGAAGGGATTTGTCCAATATTATGCTTCTAATGGGTGATGGAACTGGATTAGAAATTTCATTTTTTGATGCCAAATGGAGGTGGAGATCCAAGTGGAGGTGGGAGTGGAGCTACATCACACATGTTTATTGTGCATTGATTATGTGCCAGGGACCATGCTGGCAATCAACATCTTGCATCATTTAATCCTCTGAGCCTCTCCTGGGAAGTATGATGCTACTCGGTTCCACAGATAGGGAAACAAGCCCAGAGAGGGCAACGAATGCACTCAAGGTCAGCAGCTAGTAAGTGGCAGGCTCAGGTCCGACCAGAGGGAAGTACACGGGATTAACATTTATTGAGCATCTACTGTTTACCCAGGGCTTTGAACAGATACCACAATAATGATTCATCCAAAGCAACATGACCCCCATTCTAGAGGTAAAAGAGCTAAAGCCCAGAGTGGGAAGGAGACTGGCCTGAGGTCACAGAGCTAATAGTGACAGAGCTAAGGGTGGAAGCCCAAATTCATTTAACGCCAAGCCCAGGTGCTTTACACACACTTAATCCCTAGTCTAGGCATTACTGAACCCACAATGCAAATGAGATTGCCAGTGGTGAGGAGGTGTCACTAGCCTCCAATTCCAGCAGAGCCAGGAGTCAGGGGGTGGTAGAAGAACCTAAATCCTCCCTGAGTATCCACTAAGGCTGAGCACGTTCTATAATCTACCTTCATCCTCCAGCCATCCCTGGAGGTAGGCGGTATTGTCTACGATGTGCAGTAAATTGAGACCTGGAGGATAAATAGCTTCCTCAAGCCCCCAGGTGCATCAGGGGTGGAGATAAACCCAGGTTTGCCTGACTCCAGAGCATAGTGACACCAGTGAATAATTTATTAAACTCCTTCTGTTAGCCAAGCCCAAGAAAGACATTAGGTCATTTTGTCTTCATAACCACACTTTGAGGTGAGTATTTTTATCTCCATTTCACAAAGGCTCAGAAAGGTGATGTGACTTGCCTAAGGTGACACAAGAGAGCCAAGGTTCAAGGTCATGTCTGGCTGACTCTACAGATGTTTTACATAAGCTAAAGCAGGAGCTCTCAAACTTGACCATGTATCTGAATCACTTTCCAATCTTGTTAGAACACAGACTGCTAGACCCCACCCTTAGAGTTCCCGATTCAGTAAATCGATGGCAGGCTGAGGATTTGCATCTTTGACGAATTCCCAGGTAATGCTGATGCTGCTGGTCCGGGGAACACACTATGAGAGCCTCCGGTCTAAAGTGGTGCTCCCAACACCCCTTGGAGGTAAGTGTTACTATCCTCATTTTGCAGAAGAAACAGGTTCAGAGGGCTGGAGGGCCCCAGATCCCACAGTAGAACTTTGCTGTAAATAAATCCAAGTTTGTCCTGGAAAAGGAGACATCCTGTTGAGCACCCACTAGGTGCCAGGACATCCTGCGATTCCATTGCTTTCCTATCCTTCCAGGTAGATCTCAGCATTTATTTTCTAAAGGAGAAAAATGAAATGGGGGTGGGGTGGGTCAGTGATTTGACCAAAGTCAAATGATGGGGATGAAGGATAGTCAAAGCCAGGCCTGACTCTGAGTCCAGAGGGCACCTGCCACCTACTGAGCGCCTCCTGCATACCAGATGCTTCACACAGAGTCTCCAACACCCCTTGGCTGGTTGGATGGAGGAGGGGATTTTAACCTGGTCTTCCTGGAAGGGAAGCCCAGGAACTCCTCAGCGCGCCCTTCTGGTGTCCGCAGGGAGGGGCACTGAAGCCTTGGTGAGCGAGTGCCCGAGCCCTGACACCGGGATCCGCTGGCGGCAAAGCGACGAGGCGCTGCGCGTGAACGTGGGTGGCGTGCGGCGGCTGCTGAGCGCGCGAGCCCTGGCGCGCTTCCCAGGCACGCGGCTGGGCCGCCTGCAGGCCGCAGCGTCGGAGGAGCAGGCGCGGCGCCTGTGCGACGACTACGACGCGGCGGCGCGCGAATTCTACTTCGACCGGCACCCAGGCTTCTTCCTGGGCCTGCTGCACTTCTACCGCACCGGCCACTTGCACGTGCTCGACGAGCTGTGCGTCTTCGCCTTTGGCCAGGAGGCCGACTACTGGGGCCTCGGCGAGAACGCGCTGGCCGCGTGCTGCCGCGCGCGCTACCTGGAGAGGCGGCTGAGCCAGCCGCGCGCCTGGGACGAGGACAGCGACACGCCGAGCAGCGTGGACCCGTGCCCCGACGAGATCTCCGACGTGCAGCGAGAGCTGGCGCGCTATGGCGCGGCGCGCTGTGGCCGCCTGCGCCGCCGCCTCTGGCTGACCATGGAGAACCCGGGCTACTCGCTGCCGAGCAAGCTCTTCAGCTGCGTCTCCATCAGCGTGGTGCTCGCCTCCATCGCCGCCATGTGCATCCACAGCCTGCCCGAGTACCAGGCCCGCGAGGCGGCGGCCGCCGTGGCTGCGGTGGCCGCGGGCCGCAGCCCGGAAGGCGTGCGCGACGACCCAGTGCTGCGACGCCTCGAGTACTTCTGCATCGCCTGGTTCAGCTTCGAGGTGTCGTCGCGCCTCCTGCTGGCGCCCAGTACGCGCAACTTCTTCTGCCACCCGCTGAACCTCATCGACATTGTGTCTGTGCTGCCCTTCTATCTCACGCTGCTGGCTGGTGTGGCACTGGGCGACCAGGGCGGCACGGGCGGCAAGGAGCTCGGCCACCTGGGCAAGGTGGTGCAGGTGTTCCGCCTCATGCGCATCTTCCGCGTACTCAAGTTGGCGCGCCACTCCACCGGGCTGCGCTCGCTGGGAGCCACACTCAAGGTATGGCCTTTGAGGCCAGGTTGGAGCGGGGATAGGTGGGTGTAGCCATCTGGCAGGTTAGCAGGTAAACTTACAAGCCTCCCAAGTCCAGGCTCACGTTGAACTGAGACCCCGTCCTTTGTGCCAGGCACAGGGCTGGACACCAGGTGTATGTTTCACGTGCAGTCTGATTATCCCAATAGTTCTGTAAAGAAGGGTTTACCTTTTTCCTGGGGAGAAAACTGGGTCATAGCTTTGCTTGTCTTTTTCAAAACAAAGAAAAAAGACAAAGATCACTTTGGATATATCTATCAGATATCAAATTATATGTATCATAAAGATGTGCCAAGCAGGATGCTGACTTTCTGCTAGAGCCTTTCTTCTGGCACTATCGGGGCTCTGATAATCATAGGTCACTCTTAATAGGTAAAGTCTAGGAATAGCCCCAGGAGCTAACACTTACTGAGCACTCAAACTGTGCCAATTTCACATCCATTATCAATTTAGTCCTTAGGAGAACTTCCTCAGGAAGATGCTATTATTTATTCTCTTCCTGTAGATGAAGAAGCTGAGGTTGGAGGGTTGGCTCTTTAAAGCCTGGTTACAGTTTACTGAGCATCCTCCTGGTGCCAGGTGCTGCATTGTGGGTGAATCACTGCCCTGGCAAGCTTGCGCTCAGGGGGGTGAAATCAGCCTGGTTTGAAGAGGGAGGCAAGGCGAACGGCGTGTGCCGAAGCCTGGAGAGAGAACAGGATGAATGCTGGGAGGAGGACATGGAGGGAAGGAGATTCCCAGAGATGAGATTGAAGAGGTGAGCTGGGCAGGGTACCGAAGGGCCATGAAGTCTTGTCACATGATTTTGGACTTGGTCCCGAGGGTATAGGAGAGTTCCTGAGAGGTTTAAACAGAGGTAAGTGTTATTGTCACTGCTTTGCAGATGTGGAAACTGAGGCTCCAAGAGGTGACAGTGCTTGTTGGAGGTTCCTCAATAAGCAGTAGAGCCCAGAGAAGAACCCAGCTGTGCCTGGCTCCAGCACCTCATGTTCTTTCTCCTAAAGCTCCACACAACTCTGCTGATAATCCCCAGACAATGCTAAAAGAAAGATCCCTTCCACCCAAGGCTTAGTAAAGCCTCTTGTATGCCCTCAGGATACTGGGTGCTGGCAGATGACCTAGGCAGAATCCTAGGGCACTGCACAGGTATAAGGAATTACATTCGCCAGACCCCCTGAGCTCAGCATCTCCCCAGGGAAGATCCCTGTGCCCCAGAACGCTGCCCTATCTCCTCCATGCAGAGAGCCAGGGCCCGACACTACTAGCTTTGTCTTCAGTAGGGGAGAAGAGTATTACTGATCAGGGCTGCCAGGGTCTAAGATGCAGGTGTAAAATACTCCAGATGACAGCCTTGCTACTCAAAGTGAGGCCCCTGCCCGCCAGCAGCTTTCTCATCATTTGGAAGCTTCCTAGACATGTAGATTCTCTGGCTCTACCCAAGACTACACGATTGGGTTCTGCCAAGACCCCTGCATGATTCTTCCACGCATTAAAGTTGGAGAGAGTCTGCTCTAGAGTAGGGGTTCTCAGCCTTGCATTATTGACATTTGGGATCAGGTAATTCTTTGATTTGGGAGCTGCCC